GAGCTAAACGGGAGCAAACACGTTTGACCATACTATCAGTCGGAGGACCACCTTCGAATTCGAACCCGAGGGTTGTTAAACTGATCAACGTGGTGTTAATGGCGTTGATTTCCTGGTCCAGATCTAGGAACGTTAGAGAAAGAATGCTCGCCTTCTTCCGCAAAAGATTGCCAAGAACTATTCTGTTAGTTTCGACACCCTTATCCACACGAGCGCCCCGAATACGCAATTCGTAATCGAGTTCGAACTGTAATAAATACACGCAAGAATATTTGCTGGTTACCATAAAAAATAAATAATAAATTTCCGACTGTTTCCGACCACCAAAATGAAAATGAAAAAATGAACTACAGTGAGCCACGATAAAATACTGACAATTGAGATAATAAAAAGGTGATAAGAAATTTTACTTTCAAATCCAACGACCACAAAATCGTAGGTTACTGCTAGCAAAAAAAGAGGCAGCAAAAAAATCGGGCCACACGTTGGGCGCCAAATTTATGCTACTTACCTAGTGACAGAAGCCCTTAGATAGGTCACAGCTCCGGCTTTTCAACCGTTACACACCACACACATATCTCTATTTGAACTTGCAGTAATTTTAGAAAATAGGTCTCTAATAAGGAATGGGTTTGTTGGACTGCACTTTGGAAGCGAAGGAACTTCTATTGAAATAACTGAATATGATTGGGTGTCCATTAATGAAAGATTTAAATATTAGAAGTTTTTTTTTTTTAGTAAATATACAGGGTCATCATAAAATATTGTAGTCAACGATGTCCATGACTTTATTGACATTGTGTGCCGCCTTCCATAGTCAATTTAACTAATATTGGAATTTTTATTTTTGACGCCACATTAGTCGCTGCACTGTTTCGGCGCCAAGGCTTCATCAGATTCTGTCGGATGTCAATAATTTTTTCGTTTTTATTGACTACCCTGGTGTGTCTTCCCACACTTTGTGCGTTAATCGACGTGTCTTGTTGTTTTCATTTGCTATCTTCCGCTTTGTTCGAACTTCAAGTGTCTCAAAAAACAGTTTTTATCAAAAATTCAGATTATTGTGTAATAAACTCAAGTAATGAACACAGGGGAATGACTATGGTCAGTGTCACAAATTATTGTTTTAGGTTAGGATGGGTTATTCTTTGGAGCAAAACATGTTCATCATCATGTTCTATTACTGTCATGGGGTGTTAAATGAGGATGGGGACTGGGTGTACTCTGTGGATGCGTGTAAACGCGAGTATCTGGTGAAATATCCTGTTGTCGTCGAGGGAGAGTCTTTGAAGAACACATACGCCGAATTGTGGCCAGATTTAACGACAGTGATAGCGTCTCTAAGGGAAAACCGGCGGGGAGACCGCATAGTGAAGATGTTGTTGAAAATTTAAGGACGAGAATGGAACAAAGTCCGAAGAAATCTTTGTCAAAACTCCGGAGTACCATACAGTACGTGCCAGAAAATCGTAAAAGAGAAGTGAAAAGATTACGTTGGTTCAGAAGCTGCAACCAGCGGCTTTTCCTCGCAATGTCCGGTATTGTCCTTGGTTTCAAGCTAATATGGACGATAACAGGATTCTTGATTTGTCATTCTTTTCTGAAGAAGCCTGATTTCATCTGTCTACGTGTTGACGACTGGAGCTTTTTCCAGCCATATTTTGTGTTCATAGATCTAAAATGAAAGTCTTGTGTTGCTACACTTGGTTTATTGTTTCGCTTTCGGTGGTTACATCGCTGCTGGGTTTAAAATTAAAAAATTAACACAAAGTATAAAAATAAGAGGGGGTTAGGCCGACTTCCCCTGTGATCGCCGCCAATTCTTCAAAAGGAGCGAGCCACCCCAAAGGGAGCCGCTCCAAAGAGATCCGACTACACGCTCCGCCAGGAAGTCGTGTACTCTGAACACCTGCATCTTTGGAGCGTTGAGTTGCGGCAAAGGCGGCATGTTGCAACTACTACTTAACAATTAACACTACGTCAACTCACAGAACTTCAGGATTTGGAGTACAGAAAATCCTCACGCTTTTGAAGAAACACCATTGCACGTAGTGAAGATTGGTATGTGGTTAACTGTTTCCAGACGACGATTCATAGCCGCAATATTTTACCAAGTGACAAATTAATGCGACGAGATACAGGGAACAAATTTTGGATGTGTTTGTGAATCAGTTATTGGCTGAAGAATTAGAGTCCGGTTATTTTCAGCAAGATGGTGCTACAGCGCATACGAGAAAAGAAAATTTAAGATATTTGAAACAATTTTATGGCGATCGCATAATAAGTTTAACAGCCAATCCAGAGTGAATGAAGAAGCGTACCAGCCATTTTTGAAAATAAAAAAAGAGAAGTGGCTTTGTGTTTACGGAAACATCTTTTATAAAATACATACATGTGTATTTTACATTTTATTACATTTGTGCTAACTAAAATGAATGTGATCAGTAAACAAAATTGGATGTAAAAAGTGTCCGTAGGTACTACAATAAAAATTTTTATTTTTGGTAACTTTCATTTTTCTTTCTGTGGTAGTTGTACTCTCTTAATTTAAAACTTACTACCTGACCTGACCTGAGCTGACCTGACCTGACCTGACCTTTCGCGGAATCACAACTTTAGCAAAATTATTTTATGCAAAACTACTCATTGCAATTTTAAAGCAGTGGTGTTCTTTAATTGTGATAAGACTTGCTCTGCCATTGTCCATTACGTGATTTTTCACAATTTTTACCTTCAGAATACCTACAAAAATGTAATTTTTTATTTAATTACCGTGTTCATTGGTTTCGACAAATTTAAGCTCACTTTTTGGATTTCATAATTTGAAAAATTATTGTTTCTTTGCAAAACAGACCAGATGATTTATTCTGCTCAACTCTTATCGACTTTCCAAGGTGTAATTCATGACAAAGCTCTTAAACGTTTTTCTGATAATTTACAATTGTTGAAGGTCAAATGCGTTGCAGTAGCGTTCACAGATGCTCGATAACACTGCAACGCCTAATGCTTTGGCGTATTTTAGTGTCTATTTAAAATGAAATTAAACCTCAAATTTCAAAAGATTTTAAATCATTTTGGTGGTTAGCGGCACGAGAAAAATTTCAGTTGTTTTTCATAAGTGAGGTGACTAGGGTATTTTATGATCACGCTGTATTACATATTTTGTTGATAAATATTCGCATTTTCAGCAACGTTTAATTCCAAAGCTTTTGGTCGTAATAATTTTGTGGTCAAGCAACAACGATTAATCCTCATAGCACAGTTAGCGTTCATACACTAAACTTTATAACATAGTATAAATTTCCGCACGTAACAGCTTTAGTTAGATTCCCTGTTTCCGCGTAAAATCTACACACATCAAATCAAACCCCGAAATCGCATCGTTCGCAATAATTAGCCACGGGCTAATGGGCATTTAATTTAGTTAATTGTACGTACGAAACCGTAATCGTGATCGAGCACTCCGTACCGCACTTCTCTTTTCCGCAAACTTTCCCAGCTCTTTGAAAATTGGAATTAGGAAGAAATTGAGCCTTGATGGATTGGACAGTGCGTTTACAGCGAACGTAAGCCACTTGACTCCCGGTATTATGTTTTTATCCGGGATAAATAGGAATGAGGACGGAATTTCGTAGGAAATTTAGAAAGTCGTGCAATATACACGCAGCAACATAGCGGAGATGAGAGATATAAAAAGCGGTATTACGGAGAAATTGAAGTGGATACCTCAAGAGTTATATTTGTCCGCAAGAGCAGACGCAATTTTACACATTGCATTGTCTGCGGATGACCCGCTCGTAAAAAACGGGACGCTGCCACGGGATAACGAATTAATTTTCTGTAAAGATCGGTTATCGTAAAAACACGACGCAGGTTTAGGCTAATACGCGATCGGTGGTGGAATAGAAGACCGTTGACCCAGTTCGGAACGGCCGTTGGCTTTTTATTAGTTTAATCCCGAATTATTTTATATAGAGATGGCTTACGGTTATTTTTTCCGATGCATATAAAAAGGTGACGTTTATTTAGAGGAGACGCCTCGTAAGGTGCTCTCAATAACGTTTCAATTCTCTCTAGTGCTGTTTACATTTTTTTCATGCCGCAAAACAACTACTTTGCGGAGTCGGTTCAACAAACATCGAATTACGCACCACTTCTTCTGATGTTTCCAAACGTAAATGGAATGGCGGGACCTTAAAAATTATGGACAGGATAACGCATTTACTGGGAGATGTTCTTTCCTTCACAGTTGCTGTATTTACGTGTGGATAAAGCTCAGTCAAGTTTTTATTTTCTTCGTATCACCAAACATATAACTTATTGCTACGATGAGTACCAGATCGGAGTTACGACAGATTATATAAAATCATTAGTGTATCAGTCACCACGTTATTACTATTATACTAGCTCTAAGTAATTACCCGCACTATAAAGCGTCAAGAGCTTCTTGTTTCATCTTTATTGTTTCCCTCACCCATCTCATCTCCATCAATGTTAACATCAAATGGCAATGTTTGGTTTTTCATCAACAAGTCTTCGTCAGCAAAGTATAAACTTATGCTATTCTCTTACAATTTCTATGAAATCGTATCTTCGCTACAAACTTCAAGTATTGTTTTGTGTGTTGGTATTACTGATTTCATGTGGCACAATTCAGATTTGACTAATAAATTGATGGCTGCCAACAACGATTGCAAAAATCACTTTATTTTGATGACTTTTGAAAATAAAGACGTTAAATTTCCTTATTAGAGAAAATAGGATAGAAAAGCTGTTTTAAAGGGTCATTCGTTCTTTGAAGAAACTCGCCACACAAACTTGAACACCAGTAATAATAGCGCACCTTATAAAAACATGTTTTTCTTCAAACGTCAGAAAAATGGACCTTTGTATACCACCATACACATAGTAAAAGACGCATTTCAATGAAATGTCTATAAAAATGTTTTTTCTGACGGCGTTAGAAAAAGTGACTTTTTCTGCCGCCTTTGTTTCTGCTATCAATAAATTGAGATTATCACGGGTACTTGGTAAATGCTGACAGTTATCTTAAAAAGCAAATGCGCCGTGTGGTAGAATTCTGAAATTCCAGTTAGCAAAACCAGTCTAGTTGCTAGTTCTTTACGTCAGATCATTTCAGGATTATCAAAATAATGCAAAAGGGTGTTTAACAATAAGCAGTCAAATTGCTGTTTAAAGTTAAAAGAAAAGACAAATTGGAAAAAGCCAACAAAGTTGTTACCTCAGAAAAAATTTGGTCGAAAGTTATTTCGTCCCTAGGGTACAGACCAACAAGTCCCGCTTATTTAAAAAACTATATCATGTGATTTTGCATTTTTTTTCTGTTCCACTTAAGGCGGATATTTGTCGATCAATCTCATTTTTGGGTGATTCTTTTCAAAATTTTGTTACCACAGTTAGGTGATCGATTTGACACGTGCAGTAAAACTGATGCTTGTTTTCTTAACCTTCAAACTACCGGGTGAGGTCCAAACGGACCCCATTGATGCATTTTCCTATTTTTTTTCAGTTATTTCTGGTTTAACGATAGTGGTATTTTTAGTAGCTTCGATTAAGGTCTTTTGCTATGCATTCAAAAAATTTCAATTGTATAGGTGTAACAGTCTGTTACAAAAAAAAAATTAATATCTCGGGGTCCGCATTTTGGAGATTTTAATGCATCTGCAGGTCTTATTCTGAGAATTTAGTCTTACAAAAACCATTGTTTTATTCTTTACTAGTTTATAGACGGCGTTGCAGTTTTGTTACAAACTTGCAGGTGTCAGTATCGGTGTCAGTGTGACAATGTAATCACTGTAAAAAATTAAATTTTGTTTTATTAATGGCACCTTATCAAAATCGATATCAGTACAATCCCGGGGACCCTGTTTCGTCTATATAAGTAACATTGACAGAAATCAAGAAATTTTTGCATTTCCTGCAAAAGATTTCTTTGCCGAGAACATTCTACTCGTACTGTTAAATGTCAGGAATGCTGGAACAAAAAACTGTAACGAAAAATGCTTATTTAATATTGTTATATATTTTTTTTACTTGGTTGTGTTTAAAATTAATAAATAATTTGGATTCGCCAAAAATTTTTCATTAATCCTTTAATTTTGGCTAAATAAGGCCAGGGGGTCCAAGCGGACCCCACCCGAAATGATGTGCAATTTTTCCCACCCGGTAGTTTGAAGGTTAAATGTGTAATCGATGGGAAATTTCAACGTTCAAATACTGATTGAAATATCACACCTCAAAACTTGCCCTGTAGATTCCCTCATCTTACAGAACTAAAACTGGCGCATATCTAGACTAGAAAATTAGACAAACTATTACCATAAAACTTAACGTTTATTTTTCTAAATTGTAAATTCTTTTTAAAATCTCTTATTTTTTGAAATGTCGACGCATAAGAAAAAATATTATTATTATTATTATTAAATAAATGCGTTCGGGCAGAGGTTAAACCTGTTATGCCCGCGCAGCCTATTATTTACAAAACTATAATAAAAGTAGCAATATAAAGTTATTCAGTGCAGTAATGGTCATAGTTAATTTTAAATGACATTACAGAATTACTTAAAACTACATAGTCCGGTAGTGAGTTCCAAGGATCAAAAACTCTATTTGACAAAAAGTGCTGTCTACTCCGGGTTTTGAAATTCTCTTTTTGAAGCTTGAAAATATGTCCTCTAGTTCGTGTATCAGGATTGAGTGAAAATAGGTGCCTAATAGGTGAATTTGCAGTTGTTAAAGGCTGAAAAGTTGTAATAACATCTCCTCTTGTTCTTCTAACAGAGAGTGAAGTTAGGTTCATGGTGGCTAGTCTATCCAAGTATTGCGGACGATTTATACCATACGGCATTCTGGTTACTCTGCGTTGAGTAGATTCCAATAGTTTCTTATCTCTTTCCAGAACACGAGTTCAAACGTTATTTGCAAATTCTACTATTGGGCGAATATAAGTTTTATAAATTTTTGCTGTCGTTTGAACACTAGGTTGGACAAAAGTTTTAGATACTAAATAAATGATCTTATTTGCCTTAGCAATAATACGAGTTAAATGCTCTGACCACGATAGACTTGATGTAATCAACACCCCTAGGTCCAGGTACTCATCACATGTCGAGAGTTCCACGTTATTAATAAAGTATCTATGCCTAGGATTATTTTTTCCAATATATAATAATTTGCACTTACTGGTAAGAGAGGAGGTAACTAATCTTCACACCATCGTTCAGTTATAGTCAAATCTCTTTTTATTTTCTGATGGTCAGATGAAATACCATATATTTTTAAGTCATCTGCATAAAACGCATGAGGAGACTTTAATATACCACTGAGATCGGCGACATATGTAATAAAAAGAAGAGGGCCTAAAGTGGAGCCCTGAGGGACGCCACTTAAAACTGGGGCGGAAAGACTAAAACAGTTTCCGACCGTGAATTTGAAAATACGATCAGTGAGGAAAGATTCAATCCACCGGTGAAGAAGACCACTAATACCGTAATGTTGAAGCTTGAATAAAAGCCGCCGTTTGGGTACCCGGTCAAAAGCTTTGGAGAAGTCAAGATATGCAACATCTACCGAGTTGCCACGATTCACCTCCAGTGACCAATCCGATAGACAACACAACAAGTTGGAGGAAACAGACTTCCCTGGTACGAACCCATGCTGCTGTGAAGGGATTATCTTATGTTTCTGCAAAAAGTCTAGCGTTTTCTCGTAGATTATAGCTTCCATTATCTTCACCACCAATGATGTTAAACTAATCGGGCGGTAGTTGGCCGGATCAAATTTGTCGCCTGATTTATAAATCGGTTTAACTGTTGCAGTTCTCCAATCTAGTGGAAGAACTCTTGACTCCAAAGATTCGTTCATTAAGAAACGCAAGGGTTTACAAAGTGAGGTCGCGCAGTTATTTAAAACATTTGCGGAGATATTATCCGGGCCAGGAGAGGTAGATATATTTTATCTTTTTAGTCTTTCATAAACCGCAGTTTCGGTAACACCCACATTTGTAAGTTGATCGGAGTTAGGCGGTGAGTAAACGGTAGATGAGACTGTGGGAGGCTCACATACAAATGCCTCAGAAAATGACTTGGCGAACATATTGGAAATGACTTCGTGACGATCTATAAGAACCCATTTAGAATCGCGCAATTGTGGAGTTCTGACAGGGCTTGATAGAGCACACTTGATATACTTGTAAAAACTTTTAGGATCTTTGTTTTCACCAATTGTTTTCTCATATTTATTTCTGGCATCTTTGATAATTTTTGACAGCTACTTTGAGACTACTCGATGTACATTATAATCCGCCTGACTACTTGTTCTTCTGAATCTACGCCATAAACATCTTTTCCTGTTGATAAGCTTAAGGATTCTATTATATATCCATGGCTTTTTATATGACTTTTTCAGTGTTATCGTTTTTGACTTAGATTCTATTAAGTCGTTAAACTTTTGCTTAAAAATGTCCCAATTGTCACATACAGAAGAGCCGGTGAATCATGATGACCAGTTTAGTTTATTTAGTTCATTATCCAGTGCACTAAAGTCGACAATTCTTTTCTGGTATACCATAACCTTGCTATTCCATATAAAACACATCTGTAATTCCGCCTACAAGACCGAATGATCTGATTTTCCAATAGGGTCTAAATATTCTAAATTGGCTAGTAAGTTTTCATCCGATTTTATAAGAAGATCTAATTTCGAGGGTTGTTGCTGCAATCTATATCGAGTAGGTTGATCTACTAACTGCGTTAAGTGACTATCGATGAGTAATTCACGTAACGTTTGTGATGCATTACTTAAGCATTGAGAAATATTTATAGGCCATGTTACTTGAGGCATGTTAAAATCACCAAATAAAAATAGGTGATTATTATTTGAAGCTACATCCGAAAACATCGCAAATAAATTAGAATCGTGAGGTAATAATGAGTCTGGAGGACGATAAATGCAACCGATGACAAAATTGATGGACCTATTAGAAATTTTTAAAAAAAGAGAATCAATTCCTTTGGTATTAACATTTAAAGGATCTACAAAAAATTTGACCAATACAGCGTCTGATACGTAAATGCAAACACCACCTCCTCTTTTACCAACACGGTCACTCCTAAAAACTGTATACCCATTAATGGCAATTATACTGTCAGGCAAAGCAGCTGAGAGCCAGGTTTCAGATAAAAAAATAAACGCTGGTTTTTCATAATCATAAAATACAAACGCACAAAGTTCATTAAATTGGGCAGTCAGCGAAGCTATATTAGTCTAAACTACCGAGCTAGTAAAATTATTAGTATTAGGAGTATTATCATTCATTTGTTGGTCACTGAATTTTGCGAAAGAAGTGCTGTCGTTTGTGTCTTCCCAGTATTGCTTTTCGCAGTGTTGAACATGTCCATTTGACGTGAGAAGGCCTTCCGTAACTTTCGTTGAATATTTAAACATCTACTTTTGACATTTCTGTATTGTAATGCCGGGTATACATATCTCATGCAACATAAATACTACACCTTCTATATTAGATGTAAAATCGAGGAGATATTCTATAGGATCTGGTTGCTGATTGATGTTGTCCATCACTTCGATTAGTTGATCAAAATCCAAGAGAAATTCATGATCTGTATTCTCAATAATCTGCTTTGCTGGGATAAATTTTTCTGCAAGTGACGTTAAGCTTTCTAAAGATTCACTAGGTTTAAGTTTCTTATGAGACGTTTCTTCCGTATCTAAATTTCCTAAAGAGTCCGGTGATTTAAGTGAAAAGTCCAAGGGACCTGCATCTTCAACTGGAGATGAATCTTTAGTTCTTTTATTACTCGCCACCACTCTGCGTAGGCTGCAGATGATGTCCGAGGGATATCGTTAGTAGGTGTATTCTGCTCGGGGAAAATAGGCTCAGTTTGTGCATTAGCCCTTTCAGCAGTTGCTTCATTATTTTGTGGGCAGTCATTTGTTATATGTCCCAATTGTCTACACTTATAACAAACGTTGTCGTAACTTAAAAATATTCTATAATTTGTGCCCTCAAATTTTATAAGCAGAGATCATGGTAATTCAATGTTGTCGTCCGGCTGCACAAATATTTGTCTCCTAAAACTTAGTACATGGGCATATTCACCTCCAGGAAGACCTGCTCTTAAGAAAGTCATAGGAGAGATAACCATGAACCCTAGGGTCTTGATACTATTGACGAAAATATCGTGCGGGATTGAAGGGCAAACATTTGATAATATTATTCTTCTAGCAGGATTGATGAGACGCCTTATGTCAATTAAATGATTTTGTATCGTTAACACAGGATGATCAGTTACAACTTTGTCTACAAGGGATTTGCTGCTTAAATAAACACATATGCGGTTATTAGCAATCCGAGACGCGAAAACGACGTTTTTTGGTTGCACTAGGGTACCTACTGCACTTACATATTCAGACAATTTGATGTCATCAACTCCGCCTAAAATAATTGCGTGGTCTTTGTCTGGGAATACATTCATTGTTGACATCACAGTATAGAGATCAATTCATATCTATACTGTGTTGACATCCTTATTCTGAGAGTAGAGTAGGCAGCCCAACAAACTTCATTAAAAATGAAGCTGATAGCCCACCTCACTACAAACAGTAGAAATAAAAACTGGTCGAAAAACAACGTAAATTTGGTAAAAAGCGACCAGTTACCAAATTACTGTCGTTCCAAATGTGGATTCAGCAGCGATTACTGTATCTAAAGTATGCTTACGTATCACAATAATAGTTTTGGCGATATTATTGAGAAAAATCAGAACCGAACCTCTCTTGCACAGAACACAGTGTTTTTTTCCCCCACAGTAACTTATTGAAGAAGAGTAAATCTAAATCTAAAGTTTCGTTTTTTTCTTCAAATTCAAGCATATCCAGCGCCGTCGTACTACACATTAGATGTAAACTCATTTCTACAAAGGACAATTTAGAAAAAACAATAATCGTTAACGTACGTAGTGTTAACTAAGATTTAGTTACTGGAACTACAATCGAGCCTTGTTGCATTCAGCTGGTTAGGATGATTATCATTTTCTTCATACAGATACGTTCTTTATAGTGTTACGTTGCGCAGACGAATAAAATCGCCGTGGGTAAAACTCAACAATTTATTTCTTACTAACTCAAATTTACACGACTAACTGCACAACAATTATGTACAAACTAATTCCAGCGCAACTTGGCTGGCTCTTCTTAACATTCGCTGGACTCGTGGTTCGACTGAATCAACTGGGGTGAAGTGTACACCATCCGTTAGCTCCAGGCAAGATCATCCAGCTGATAAAAGCGCACATTGTTTCGACTACCCTTATGCGAGTTTTGAGCAGTCTTACGAAATTTAATGCCAGCCTAATAAAGAAGGGTTCGTATCGAATTGATTTTGCGCCCACTATCTTTAGAAGTTTTTACACTTAAACTGATAATCACTTTGAAGGATCGCAAAGTGTGAAAAGTTGTATCCTTGTTTTTCTTTTTCCCAATCAATAAAACTGATAATAATGAATTCCTGTCTAAATTGTGGCATATTCAGCAAAGCAAAAAACCCATCCAGCTTGCAATGTGATGCATGTCAAGGGGCACTACATATAAGTTGCCTCGGTGTATCCGAAGACGGAATAAAACTAACCAAAACAAAGTCTAAACCTGTGAAAATTTTTAGTAACACATATGGTGCAATTTAGAGATATTAAAAATGTAATTGTAATGATTCAATCTGAATTCAATGCCCAAGTCGATAAATTAAGAGAGGATTTCAAGACTCAAATTGTCAATATTAAATCATCTCTAGAACAACCTAAACCAGAATCTATGTTTCAACAGAAGATATAATACAAGAAGCAGTAGCGAGACAGAAAAGAAAGAAAAACATTATCATGTTTGGGTTGCCGAAAACGCCTCAGCAGTGTGTGAGTGACAAAACTTTTGGTGAAATCAACTCGCAGCCTCCAAAAGATAAAATTAATACGGTTACCTATAGAAGTTTTAAGTATTTTGATACAAATGAATTTTCTCGAGATGCCTCCCTTATAAACTGGAATCATATTATTAATCTTGAATCTATTGACAAGTTATCTTTTTTTAACTCAGCAATAATAGCCCTCTTCGACGTTCATGCTCCTCTCAAAACTACCACCACTAAGAGACCTGCTAAACCTTATATAACCGACAATAAAGGAAATAATCAAACTCAAAGACAAAGCAAGGAAAAAGTATATTCAATCTAGAGAAAAAACTACTTTAATCTCTATTGATCCCAATTTGGTGTGAATTCCTTAATTACAATAGACACCACAATCCACATCAAACTTTAGAACTTACATTAGTAACTGCGGAAGAAGTCAAAAATGCTCTATTATCTATAAAATCTAACGCCACCGGATTGGACAACATAAGTCTGCAGATGCTTAAACTTATTTTTCCTTTCTGTGTAGACATAATTACTCATTTAATTAATACATCCTTTTTATTAGGTATGGTTCCTAAAGTGTGTTGTTGTTCCGCTAGCCAAAGTTACGAAAGCAACTAAACTGACAGAATTGCGTCCGATTAGTCTATTGCCAGTCACATCTAAAATAGTTGAGAAGATTATCGCCTACCGAATTACGAAATACATGAATGAATTTAATTTTCTACCTTCATATCAGTCTGGTTTCAGAAGAAATTGCAGCACTTGGATCGCCTTACTGAAAACAACTTCTGACATCTCGACACCCAAGCAGCAGACTGTCGTCTAATTCACGTCAATTTTTGGTCATAACTCGTCGGCGACGTCATTCGCCCAAAAAATCACGTGAAAATGACGAGATTTTAATGACTTACATCTGACGTCAATTAATGACGTCAAA